CGTCAGGTGAAGCAGACGACGGCAAATTCACTGGTAGGCGGGATTCCCCAGTGGAAGTACGTCCTTCCCAAAGAGATGGGTTAGTTGTAGTAGTAGTTGTCGTAGTCGTGAAGGTTATGTACATGTCCTCAGAATTAAGATTCCATGATGTTGCAGTGTCTGACAAGTTGTGTACGAATGGTATATAATACCGACAAGATGAGAGTAAGACACATGTGCAACATCTGGGTATCTTTATTGTAGACGTTTCGCCATCCAGTGGCTTTATCAATACAAATTCTAGGACATAACTTGAAGACAGTAGAACTATGTACAGAAGATGAGGTAATCAGTCCCTCAACCTAGGAGGTAATCAGGGACTGATTACCTCATCTTCTGTACATAGTTCTACTGTCTTCAAGTTATGTCCTAGAATTTGTATTGATAAAGCCACTGGGTGGCGAAACGTCTACAATAAAGATACCCAGATGTTGCACATGTGTCTTACTCTCAACATACAAAATACTGAGAGGAATTCACAAGGTGAACAAAGACAGGATGTTCCAGAGATGGGACACAGCAACAAGGGGACACAGTTGGAAGTTGAAGACACAGATGAATCACAGGGATGTTAGGAAGTATTTCTTCAGCCACAGAGTAGTCAGGAAGTGGAATAGTTTGGGAAGCGATGTAGCGGAGGCAGGATCCATACATAGCTTTAAGCAGAGGTATGATAAAGCTCACGGTTCAGGGAGAGTGACCTAGTAGCGACCAGTGAAGAGGCGGGGCCAGGAGCTTGGAATCGACCCCTGCAACCTCAACTAGGTGAGTACAACTAGGTGAGTACACACACACACATACATACATACACAAACCAACCTGCAAAGGGAATATGTGTTAATTCACCTACACTGCAGGTGATGTGATGTATGTGTGTGAAGAGGCGGGGCCAGGAGCTGAGTCTCGACCCATGCAACCACAATTAGGTGAGTACAATTAGGTGAGTACACACACACACAAATATACACACAGCCCTGCACCAACCCCTCCCACCCCCTCTAAATATAGTTCTGGAAAGGAAGCTGACGGTATGCTTTAGCAACATAGATGGAATAACTAGTAAGGATTACAAGTGGCATAAAAGAATCACTGAGGAATCCCCAGACATCATAGCACTCACAGAGATAAAGCTTATGGGGGTGATAACAGATGCGATCTTCCCATCTGGATATCAGATCCTGGGGAAAGACAAGGTGAACAGAGAGGGTATGAGGAGTTGCACTGCTTATCAGAAATCAGTGGAGTTTTAGGAGATGGGAGAACTAGTCAGAGGTGAAGCAGATGACTACATAATAGGAACACTTCTAACTGGGGGTCCAAAAGTGATAATAGCAGTGATGTATAACCCACCACCGAGCAGCAGAAGACCAAGACAAAAATTTGATGAGAGTAACAGAATGATGGTGGCCACATTAGACGAAGTAGCTAGAAGGGTCCACACAAGCAGGACAGAGTTATTCATCATGGGGGATTTCAACCACAAGGAGATAGACTTGGAAAATCTGAAGCCACATGGGGGACCAGAGATGGAGACCCAATGTGCTTGAGGTGGTGCTGGAAAGCTTCATATATCAACTTGTTAGGGACACAACCAGCGAGAGAAGAGACAATGAACCAGCAAGGCTGGACTTTGTATTCACCATCAACAGTTCAAACATAGGGGAAATCACACAAGAAATACCTCTCGGTACTAGTGATCACGTCGTCCTGAGTTTCGAATACACAGAATTAACAATAAAAGGTGAGGCAGCAAAAGAAGAATGGGAAAACCAAACTTCATAAATGGGAACTACACATGTATGAGACAATTTCTGCATAAGGTGCAGTGGGTAAGAGAGCTAGAGGGAAAGACAGTAAATGAAATGATGGAACATGTGACTGCAAAGTGCAGGGAGGCAGAGAAGTTCATGCCAAGGGGCAACAGAAACAATGGGAAGACAAGAGTGAGCCCATGGTTTATCTGGAGGTATGGAGAAGTTAAAGCCAAGAGTGCTAGAGTATGGAAAAAGTACTCAGGAAAACAAAGAGTTGAGCTGAAGTGCCAGAAATGAATATGCATGGATAGGGAGAATGACATAGCACCAGAAGCCAAATCTGACCCAAAGTTGTTACACAGCCATATCAGGAGGAAAACAACAGTCAAGATCCAGGTAATCAGGCTGAGGAAGGAAGGGAGCTCACAGGGAGTGGCCAGGAAGTATGTGAAGATTCAGGGAGGTATTCAAAGTGGAAACAGAGGCTTCCAGCAAACCGAGGAAGTAGGGTTCACCAGCAAGTGCTAGACACACTGCATACAACCAAGGAAGAGGTTTTACCTGGAGAGGGTTTCAGGGGTCAATGCCCCCATGGCCTGGTCTGAAACATGAGATCAGGGTTTGATCAACCAGGCTATTACTGCTGGCCACATGCAAATCGACATACGAACCACAGCCCGGCTGATCAGGTACTGACTATAAGTGTCTGTCCAGGGCCTTCTTGAAGACAGACAGAGGTCTATGGTAATCCCCATTATGTATGCTGGGAGGCAGTTGAACATTCTTGGGCCCCTGACACTTATTGTGTTGTTTCTTAGTGTACTCGTGGTGCCCCTACGTTTCATTGGGGGAATGTTGCATCTCCTGCCGAGTCTTTTGCTCTCGTAGGGAGTGATTTTCGTGTGCAAGTTTGGTGCTAATCCCTCTAGGATTTTCCAAGTGTATATTATTATGTATCTTTCTTGCCTCCATTCCAGGGAATAGAAATCAAGGGACTTCAATTGTTCCCAATAATTTAGGTGCCTTATCGTACTTGTGTGTGCCATGAAAGTTCTCTGTACATTTTCCAGGTCAGCAGTTTTCCCTGCCTTGATGGGGCAGTTAGTGTACAGCAGTATTCCAGCCTAGAGAGAACCAGCAATTTGAAGAGAATTATGGGTTTAGCATCCCTAGTTTTGAAGATTCTTGTCATCCATTCTATCATTTTTCTAGCAGATGAGGTAGATACATTGTTGTGGTCTTTGAAGGTGAGATCCTCTGACATTAGCACTCCCAGTTCCTTCACATTAGTTTTTTACTCTGTTGTGTGGTTAGAATTAGTTTTATACCCTGATAAAGTTTTAATTTCCTCAAGTTTTCCATATCTGAGTAGTTTTCTGTGGCCCATTTAAAGATTTGGCTGATGTCCACTTGGAGACTTGCAGTGTCTTTGATGGAGGTCACTGTCATTGCAATTCAGGTGTCATCCGCAAAGGAAGACGTGGAACTATGACTTACATCTCTGTCTATGTCAGATATGAGAATGAGGAGCAGGATGTAGCTGCTTCAGACTTTATTGTGTTTATTATTACTTTTTGTGAAGAAACTGCTAGGTGAACTAGATATCTCGAAGGCGGTAGGCCCAGATAACATCTCTCCATGCGCCCTGAGAGAGGGAGCAGATGCACTGTGTGTGCCACTTACAATAATCTTCAGTAACTCTACTGAAAAAGAGCAGCTGCCTGAGGTGTGGAAGACAGCAACCATAGTCCCAGTTTTTAAGGAGACAGACAGGCAATACCCAACTACAGACCTATGTTACTGACATGTATAATATGTAAGGTTATGGAGAAGATTATCAGGAGAAGAGTGGTGGAGCACCTAGAAAGTAATGGGCTCATACATGACAACCAACATTGCTTCAGGTAAGGGAAGTCCTGCATCACAGACCTACTGGAGTTCTACGATAAAGTAACAGAAGACAGGAGAGAGAGAGAGAGGGATGCATAGACTGCATCTTGGACTACATGTAAGAAGGCTTTCGATACAGTACCACACAAGAGACTGGCTGAAAAGCTAGAGGAGCAGGCAAGGAAAGTACTGCAATGGATCAGTGAATACTTGACGGGAAGGAAACTTGTGCTGGTATGTGATAAGGTGAGTTCATGTGTCGAGTGGGGTTCCAAAAGGGTCAGTCCTGGGTCCAGTGCTGTTTGTAGTATATGTGAATGACATGACAGAAGGGATAGATTCAGAGGTGTCCCTGTTTGCAGACAATGTGAAACTAATGAGACAAGTGGACGAGGATCAGGTATGCCTGCAAGGAGATGTAGACAGGCTGCAAGCCTGGTCTGACAAATGGCTACTTGAGTGCAAAGTCATGAAGTTTGGGGAGTGACAAAGAAGACTGAAGACAGAGTACAGCATAGGAGGTCAAAGGCTTCAAAGCTTATTCAGGGAAAGGGATCTTAGGGTGAGCATCATACCGAGCACATCAACCAGATAACTGCTGCAACATTTAGGTGCCTGGCAAACCTAAGAATAGTGTTTTGACATCTAAGTAAGGAGTTGTTCAAGACAACGTACACCATGTACATCAGGCCCATATTGGAGTATGCAGTACCAGTATGGAACCCACACTTGGTGAAACACATCAGAAAACTGGAGAAAGTTCAAAGGTTTGCAACAAGACTAGTCCTGGAACTGAGGGGTATGTCTTATGAGGAGAGGTTAAGGGAACGCAGCATGATGACACTAGAGAATAGGAGGGATAGAGGGGGACGATGATGATGTATAAAATACTGAGGAAATGACAAGGTGGACAGGGCTAGAATGTTTCAGAGATGGGACACAGGAATAAGGGGCCACAACTGGAAGATGAAAACTTGGATGAGTCACAGGGATATTAGGAAGTATGTCTTCAATTATAGAGTTGTCAGGAAGCATGAAGTAGAACAATCTGGAGAGTGATGTAGTGGAGGCAGGATCCATACATAGCTTTAAGAAGAGATGCAATGAACCTCATGGAGCAGGGAGAGAGTGGACCTCGTAGCAACCAGTGAAGGGAGCAGGGCCAAGACCTGTGACTCATTTCCTGCAACCATAAAAAGGTGAGTACACACACACACACATATACGTACAAACAGTATATGGTTTAGTCATAAGCTTGTAAATGTTGATATAATAAACTTTATAAGTGTTTAATTTTCCTCTGTATCATTTATGTAGGAACTGGTGCAAGTGTTCAACTTCCACCGATATGACAATCTTCGTCATGCTGCTAACAAGAAGGATCCACGCAAACAGAAGTTTGAGTCCCGGGGGCAGAAGGTTGTGTCCCTTCTCTTCTCTGCTTGCTCTGGTGATGTTACTGCTATGAGAAGGTTAGTGACAAGGATGGCCGAAAGGTTTTATGACCCAGTAAATGTACATAGTGCTGCACTTAATTTCCAATGGAGATAATTTTCCTAGGAGTCAACCAACTACAACCAATTGACACATAGGCATGGCACATATTTTGTTAGGTGATCATGGACAATAGGTGTAAGGAAACTTGCTCATATGTCGTGTCATGCATAAGAATCAAACTCAGGTTTTTTCACTTGTGAGTAGAACACGATACCACTGACCTTTAGAGCAATAACACTGCTATATTATTATAGAGTATTCGCAAAATAAAGTAGGTCAGAAAATTAAACTACAAGTTGTATCTGATAATCCCCCTAATTCATGGGAAATTAGAGTTTAAATTTAATTTTAATCTTTATTTCTACAAGAACATGATACAACTGATACAGGCATAGTTGACATCATTGGCATACTATATAGAAAGCTCCTGGTTACACAGAACACTTAAGGTAACTGTACTAGTGATCACTCACTCTAGTGCCAGACAGCACACTCCCCCACTTCATAAGGCTAAACTTAATATACATAAAATTCACTTACACTGCTGTGCATACTACATATATGAGACAGTCATCTTGAATATAAATCCTGCTCCAAAGCTCTCAATAGCTGCAACAGAACTCGGGCATAATACCAGACATAAAAATCTCTACTCCACGTGTCTGATTCAACCTGCATAAAAATTCAAGCGTGCATAAAAGGACCTAAAATTTGGAATGCTTTGCCTGAAGATTTCGGAGGCTCTCTACTGTTAAAAAACACTTTACCTTAATGTGATCCTGTCAACTATGTATTATGCCGACCAAATCCTGAAAAACCTGTCTTTCATCTAATATTGTTCCTGTTCTTGTTACATCCTTCCTTCAACTCACATTTATTACCAGAAAGGCATTTTTATTTGTATCAATTCAGGTACCTAGCTTAATGTATCTTTAATTAGAAATTTTTATTATATTACTGAATACCTTTAATATAGTATAAATTAAGTACAGTGTGGTTCCCCGGTTATCGGCCGTAATCCATTCCAGAAGGTCGGCCGATAACCGAAATGGCCGAAAACCGAATTATTTCCCATAAGAATTAATGGACATACAATTAATCTGTTCCAGACAAAAATATTCACAAAAATTTTTTTTTTTTAGCAATTATGTAAGTATTACATACCTTTATTGAAGGCTAATGTTGGCTTTTGGAAGATAGGGAAGAGGGAGGAGTTAGTGTTTGGAAGGGGAATCCCCCTCCATAAAGACTTTAGAACATAAGAACATAAGAAAGGAGGATCACTGCAGCAGGCCTGTTGGCCCATACTAGGCAGGTTCTTTACAATCCATCCCACTAACAAAACATTTGCCCAACCCAATTTTCATTGCTACCCAAGAAATAAGCTCTGATAACTCTATCCACTCATTTGCAAGTCCCACTCAAATCCAACCCCTCTCACTCATATATTTATCCAACCTAAATTTGAAACTACCCAAGGTTTTAGCCTCAGTAACCCAACTAGGTTGAGTGTTCCACTCATCAACTACCCTATTTCCAAACCAATACTTTCATATGTCCTTTCTAAATCTAAACTTGTCTAATTTAAATCCATTACTGGGGGTTCTCTCTTGGAGAGACATCCTCAAGACCTTATTAATATCCCCTTTATTAATACCCATTTTCCATTTATACACTTCGATCATGTCTCCCCTCATTCTTCGTCTAACAAGTGAATGTAATTTAAGAGTTTTCAATCTTTTTTCATAAGGAAGATTTCTAATGCTATGTATTAATTTAGTCATTCTACGCTGAATGTTTTCTAACGAATTTATGTCCATTCTGTAATATGGAAACCAGAACTGAGCTGCATAATCTAGGTGAGGCCTTACTAATGATGTATAAAGCTGCAGTATAACCTCTGGACTTCTGTTGCTTACACTTCTTGATATAAATCCCAATAATCTATTGGCCTTATTACGTACGCTTAGGCACTGCTGTCTTGGTTTAAGGTTGCTGCTCACCATAACCCCCAAGTCCTTTTCGCAATCTGTATGGCTAAGTTCTACATTATTTAACTTATAAGTGTTAGGGTTATGGACACTCCCGAGCTTCAGAACCTTGCATTTATCTACATTGAACTACATCTGCCACTTTTCTGACCAAGAATAGAGATTGTCTAAATCCTCCTGAGGTTCCCTAACATCTACGTTTGAATCAATTATCCTACCTATCTTTGTGTCATCGGCGAATTTGCTCATATCACTAGTAATACCCTCATCAAGGTCATTGATATATATTATAAACAACAACGGGCCTAAGACTGATCCCTGTGGTACGCCACTTGTTACAGATCCCCACTCGGACTTAACCCTATTTATGGACACACTCTGCTTCCTATCTGTGAGCCATGACTCGATCCATGAGAGCACTTTTCCTTGAATGCCATGAGCTGCCACTTTCTTTAACAATCTTTGGTGCGGAACTCTATCAAAAGCCTTACTAAAATCTAAGTAAATAATATCAAATTCTTTATCGTGATCAACAGCCTCGAAAGCTTTACTGAAGAAAGTTAATAAATTAGTTAGACAAGAACAGCCTCTTGTGAATCCATGCTGAGTATCATTAATCAGATTATGCTTATCCAGATGGCTTCTTATAATCTCAGCTATGACTCTAGCAATTTGCCTACAATTGAGATCAGGCTTATTGGGCGGTAATTTGATGGTAACGACTTATCCCCTGATTTAAAAATAGGAATTACATTAGCCATCTTCCACATATCAGACACTATACCTGTTTGAAGAGACAAATTAAAAATATTAGTTAATGGTTCACAGGGTTCCATTTTGCATTCCTTAAGAACCCTTGAAAAAACCTCATCAGGTCCCAGCGACTTACTTTGCTTCAGTCGATCTATTTGTTTCATAACCATTTCACTAATGACTGTGATGTTACATAATTTATCTTCTTCAGGCCCACTATAAAAATTAATTACTGGGATATTGTTAGTGTCTTCCTGTGTAAAAACCGAGAGAAAATAATTATTTAAAATTGAGCACATTTCATTCTCTTTGTCAGTAAGATGCCCATAGTTATTTTTAAAGGGACCTATCTTATCTCTAACTTTTGTTCTATACACCTGGAAAAAACTTTTTGGGTTAGTTTTCGAATCCCTGGCAACTTTAATTTCATAGTCGCGCTTAGCTTTTCTTATCCCCTTTTTAACGTCCCTCTTAATGTCAATATACTGATTCATAAGATGATTCTCACCTCTTTTGATACACTATAAATTCCTTTCTTATGCCCTAAAAGATATTTGAGCCTATTATTCATCCATTTTGGATCATTTCTGTTTGATCTAATTTCTTTATACAGGATAAATGTTCTTTGAGCAGCATGTATAGTGTTCAGGAAACTGTCATATTGATAGCTCTCTTTGTTACCCCAGTCAACAGATGATAAGTGTTCTCTAAGCCCATTGTAATCTATTAAGTGAAAATCTGGGACTGTTACTGAGTTATCCCTACTATCATACTTCCATTCAGTGCTAAATGTAATTGATTTGTGGTCGCTAGCACCAACTTCCTCTGAAATTTCTAAATTATTAACAAGGGATTCATTGTTTTCCAGAACTAAGTCAAGCAGGTTATTTCCCCTTGTAGGCTCTGTCACAAACTGCTTCAAAAAACAATCCTGAACTACTTCTAAGAAGTCGTTTGATTCTAAATTCCCAGTCAAGAAATTCCAATCAATATGGCTAAAGTTAAAGTCTCCTAGAATTACTAAGTTATTGTGCCTTCTCTGGGGTTACTTCCCTTCTTTGTCTTTTAATGCCACTAGGACCAGCTTGAGAGTCACTGGACCCCTGTCTCACAAAATAACTGTCCAGAGTGCTCTGTTCTGGCATCTCTAAGATTTCCCTGAAGTGGGACAGGGTTTTGTCACTAAACATGTTGCAGATATGGCTTGTTTCAGCTTTGTCAGGGTGGTGTTTCCTCTACAAAAGCTGCACCCTAGTCCACATGCACACACCTCTTTAATCTCTGAAGAAGGCACCTCCTTCGCTCCCTCTTCCTCCTCCTCTGAAGCAAGTTCCTCAGCTGCAGTCTGTTGCTGTTCAAATTGAAGCTCTTGCTGCTCTTTAGTGGTTAGCTCTTCCCTGTGGTCCTCCAACTCTTCCACATCCTCGCTACTCACCTCCAACCCCAGGGACTTCCCCAGTGCCACAATAGAGTCCACAGGGTCGGCAGGGTCAGGGTCAGCCTCAAACCCTTCAAAATCCCTCTCTTGGACACAATCTGGCCACAGTTTTCTCCAGGCAGAGTTCAAAGTCCTGGAAGTCACTCCCTCCCAAGCCTTACCTATAAGGCTTATGCAATGTAGGATAGTGAAGTGATTCCTCCAGCACTCTCTTAGGGTCAACCGAGTGTCCGACGTCACTTCAAAGCACTTTTGAAACACTGCTTTTGTGTAGAGTTTTTTGAAGTTAGAAATGACCTGTTGGTCCATGGGCTGGAGGAGAGGAGTGGTGTTAGGAGGCAAGAACTTCACTGTGATGAAACTGAAGTCCCTAAACACTTGGTCTTGCAAGTCTGGAGGATGTGCAGGAGCATTGTCCAGTAACAGGAGGCACTTGAGTGGCAATTTCTTTTCCAGGAGGTATTTTTTCACACTTGGGCCAAACACATCATTAACCCACTCTTTGAAAATTTGCCTTGTGACCCATTCCTTATGATTAGCTTTCCACATCACACAATCTATTCTTCATGACATTGTTTTTCTTGAACACTCTGGGATTTTCTAGTACCAACTACCTCATTTTTTTTACTTTTATTGTGCAATAAACTGCTCAATTTATTTAATATTACAAATCAGATCTTACTCCTAAACCAATATTATTTCATAGTGACCACCTGTCCATTTAACTTTGTTTACCATTACTTAATTTTAGTCCCTTATATATTTTCTCCTTTATTTTAGCTTTATATAACTA